AAATAAACATTAAAGGTCCCATGTCATGCTTTTCTGGTTATTACCCGTCCCCTGCGGGTGCTAGTGGAGCCTCGCAGATGGGGGTGCTGCAGCCCCCTCAGCACCCCCCCTTCCCGCGTCCATGGTGCTCAGGCTGAGTTTCGCGATGTCTCGCTGTCTCGCAGACCCCACGCAGCAACCAGGAAACGACACCAGTAAGCCAGCTGACACTGTCCCCTCCTCACAGCAGCGAGCCCCGCAACGTCCCGCCAACACGGCACCCAGACCCCACGCAGCATTCTCATCTGTGTGTCATTACTGGTGTCATTTTCTGGTTGCTAACGCCATTGTAACACATAATCACTGATGTTCCGCTGTAACGGTGGTGGACTCATCAGAACAGAGTGGGCGAGCTGACCAATCAGAGCACAGTGGGCTCATAGGGATGGGGGGGGGCAGGAGCTCCAACAAGCCGTTTAGGACCGAGAGTGAATACACATACTATACAGAGATGCTGTATGAGAAACCAATGTGAGTTTGGAAAATTGCACAATGTAAATCTATTCTAGTAGACCTCAACAATGGAATTATGATCAGTAGAAATGGCCATGACATGGGACCTTTAAAGAAGAAACCTCACATACCCTCTGCAGTACTTCAAAGTGCCCCTAGGGGTACATTCACCCCGATTTTAGAAACACTGATCTGTTTTTCTTGTCATGAACTCCACAGTTCACGTTTCACTTTCTCACCCACAATCTCCACTTTTATTCAACAGTGTCGGGTCTCGATAGATTTTTCCTAATTATTCTCTTCTGTGCGGGTTCAGTGGAGAGAATCAGTCACGCAGAATGAGTTTCAGACTTTTAACATCCGTGATGTTTCTTTTGTAACTTCTGTTACTCAGAAAAGTCGTTGCTAATTCGAGACAAGTGGCAGGCTTCATGGTAACTCTGCATTACACAGCATGTGTTCAGTCAGGTGCTTCCTGTGGGTAGAACTTTTAAAGGTCTGCAGGATTGAAATAGTATTTGACAGGTATTATTATTAAAGCTCAGACAGCACCTGGAGCTTCTATAAGATGTTTCAGGGCTTCTTCATGTTATTGTCACCTCACATCGGTGGAAAAGCAACGAGTTTAGTGAAGTTCTGTCGTACAATTTAAAGTACTCGAACTGTTCCTTGACTTTAGTTTACTTGAGTAGTTCATATCAAAACTGCCTCCTACAAAAAGTGTGTTCCCATAAAACTAAACGTAATTCGGTACCACTTTACAAAAAGACTACCCTTATAAAGAATTCATGAAGGGTTTATAATTAGGTTATTAATTAGGTTGTAAACACTTTATTAATCATTAAGAACCATTTATAAACCAGTTCTAACAGTTTTCATACATCAACACAGGCTCACTATTTGGCAAGATGACTAAGCCTTATATTGGCTACTTAGCGAGAATCAACTCAGTGAACAACAGATACCAAGGATGCTGGCTGATGAAGAAGACGAAGTAAGCTAGGTAGCCAATATAAGACTTAGCAGTACAGATACATGTGGGCTCACTATTTGGCAAGCAACCGGTCACAGTTGCCCTGTTTATTTCATGTCTTATAAAACCTTATTCATGATTTATAAAGTGTTCACAACCTAATTAATAACATTACATTTTACTTGTTAGACGCTTTTATCCAAAGCGATTTACATACTCAATACTGTGGGTAATCCCCACAGGAGCAATTTGGGGTGAAGTGTCTTGCCCAGGGACACAACAACATGCTGACTGCAGCGGGGTTTTAACCTGTGCTCCCCTGATCGGAACACCAACGCACTATCCCACTGCGCCACAGCCTCCCTTACAAACTATTCGTAAACCCTTTATAAGGGTAGTCTTATTGTAAAGTGGTACCCGTAATTCTTTATCACCCTTCAAAGGAAAGCAATGTTTCCATTATTAAACACCTGGCAATGTAAACAAGCGACACAATGATTTGTTACGGTTTAGTAAAACATCATGCTTTGGCTTTTAAAAAGTGCATGTGTTATGTTATTAAAATTACGTAAATTAAATGTGATAGGCTTTTGGTTTTAAAGTCCTGTGTTGTTTGGACCCATCTCACTTGACCATACATCACATCACAGCTGTGGAGGCATTGGTATAGTTGTCTCTTTGTAGGACACTGATTTAAATTATTCTTAAACTATGAATTTTTTTTATGCTGTTTATGTAATTTATTATATGTAATGCCTTGTCTTTTATCTGGACCCTGAGTCTGTAATAAAGTTTTCATTCATTCATTCATACAACATCTGTGTGTTACATTAAAAACATGTAATCCGGGAGACATTATTCTTCTTTTCCTGCACACTCAGCGTGTTGTAAAGTCCAATAACTCAGCACTAAATCCACAACTCCAGGTTTCACGTGGTAAGAAACCCATTCATCGTTTGTGAACCTAATGTTTAACTCGACAATGTTCTCTTACAGCGTTTGTAAATGATGCAGCTGAATATTACTGATTACATTTTAGTGCATTTATAGCTGCATAAGCAAAGTGGGTGAAAATAAAGAAAAAGGTGGATTTAATCCAGGATTTAAATCATAGTTTGAACTCATTGAACAGATACCTGGTGAAGCAAAGTGCAACAGTGCCCTCTACTGGTCTGTTAAAAAATACAATTACAATTCCTGCAGTCTGACGAAGCAAATCCAAATATTTGATTTGTCATTTTGGGCTCTGGGTAATTTGGGTGGCACTTCACACTATTTTTACAAATCAAACATTGGATCAATGATTGAACAGCCTTATTCCTCTGGAGTATTTAAACTAATAAATGCATTTATTTTTGAACGATTATACTAACATACTGACAAACAAAGACTGCCAATTTTAATTAAGACTAGTCGTTTAAGCATTTGGCTGATTCGTTTTACAAAAAATACATTTTCTCTTTTAAATGTTACATTGGCAAAGTTACTAATAACTAAAGCTCTAAGATAAGTGAAGTAAATATTCCTCATTGTAGTGGAGTAGAAGTATAATTAAAAGAAAACGCGCAAAGTAATATATCAAATACTTAGTAAAAGTACCTCACCTCAGAGTACAGACTGTTTAAAGGAAGCTCTGATGTTTGAGCAATTTCTATCTAGACATTGTGTCCGTCTGTAATGGAAAGGATACAAATATAACATTCAAATAATCGAGTAAATATTTTTTTTTACCGTTTTTTTATACTTTTCACCTAAAAATATAAGATATTCAACAATAATAGTTTTAAGTTACCTCCCAGGATAAGATGTTACATTTTTATTTTATTTGCACAAACGTAAGACTGCATGGAATCAAGATAATGAAAATATAAGAAAGCTACAAGTAAAAAATAAATAATACTAAGCTGATATAAATAGGAAAAATAAAACAAAATTCACCCAAAAATGGATGAATAACTAGAACAAAGTAAAAAAACAAATATGAAAAACAATACGGGTAAAAAAGAAAGAGGACATGCATACATACACACGTCAAGAAATAACCATGAATTATATTTGATGAAAACTGAATTACTTCTATTGTTAATACATCTTTCTTAATTGTATTGCTGTTATATTTGTAGTGTTGTTAGATTAACTTCTCCTTCACTTTAGATTACTCTTTTTATTCTTGTGTTATTTACTTTAATATTTGACTTATTTTCACTAAATACTATTCTATTTTGCACTGGTGTTGATTCTTATACACTATATAACTGTATTGTGTTTTTTAAATTCCTTTTGTAATTTTTGTCCGGCAGTGACTCAGTCAGTAGGGGCTTGGACTGTGAGCCGTATGGTCTCCGGTTCAAGTCCCCGACCAGACCTAAATATGGAGTGTGGACTTCTACTTGGAGAGGTCCCAGTTCACCTCCTGCCCTGCCGTGGTGCCCTTGAGCAAGGCACCGGACATCCCCCTTCCCCCCTCACTCCCATTGCTACCCGGGCGCTGTACAATAGCTGCCCACTGCTCCTAGTACTAGACTCCTGGTACTAGGATGGGTTATAAGCAGAGAACAGATGTCACTGTGTGCTGTGTGCTCTGCATGTGTGACCATTGCAGAGGGTTTCATCCCTCCCAATTCTAGTCTATTTGTTTTTTTGAGAAAAAAATTACTTTATTGTGGGGTAAATAAAGTGTAGTTATCCTAAGCCACCAGCAGAGGGCGACACAGACTGCAGATTTATGGAGCTGGTCCACAGAGAACTGTTGTTTTTGTCATGATGTAACACAAAAATTACAGATTACACATCTGAAATAAATCTCCATCAATTTGAAGACTGTCCATTTTTGAAACGTTAGATTTGATTACTCACATTATCTCAGCATCTGCAAATACTAACTCAGTGCATCTGTCATGATCTATGTCTCATATTATATACTGATGGCAGGTCTTTTGACCTTTCCTCCAGCAGGGTTACAAAAACATCAGAGCTTCCTTTAACAGTCTGTACTCAGAGGTGAAATGTAACTAGGTACCTTTACTCAAGTATTTGAGTGTTTTCTTTTAATGTATTATACTTCTACTCCACGAGGAATATTTACTTCACTTATCTTAGAGCTTTAGTTATTAGTAACTTTGCAAATGTAAAAGTTACAAGAGAAAATGTATTTTTTGTGAAACGAATCAGGCAATAAACGATTAGTCTTAATTAAAATTGGCTGTCTTTGTTTTAAATATTGAAAAAAAAAAATCTCAGTATTTTAGTTCAAAAATAAATGCATTTAAAAATAGTTAAATACTCCAGAAAAGGCTGTTCAATCATTGATCCAATGTTTGGTTTGTAAAATAGTGTGAAGTGCCACCCAAATTACCCAGAGCCCAAAAGCAAATATTTCGATTTCATTTGAAACTATTGGAGGAAAGTGTCAAGGTCTTTATCATCTTTAACTTAAACTGTCAGATAAAGCACAATTAAAGATTCCAATAATTAACTCCAAAGATAGTGGTGTTAAGTAACTCACATTTAAAGTACAAGACACCAAACACAAGCAGTGAGTTCACATTTTTTTATTTGTTTTAGTACAACAGTTCAAGTCACTAGCCACTGTTTCTATATGAGGTGCCTAAAGTGTATTGCTCGTGTGCATCCCATGTGTAGACAACCCCCCTCCCCCAAAATTCAGTCAAGATGGCGACCGTCTTCCAAACCTGGCATTTCAATTCACAGCAAGACGTTATGTGCTTTAAGACCCCAATATGTTTTACAAAAAGCCAAGAACTAGCAAAGCTTCACAAAAACACAGAGTGAAAAACAGCCGACGCCTCGATTTTAACCTTTTGCTACTTTTTTTATTTTAATATACAGTAAGTGGCGAGAACAGGTGTAATTCACAGAGACAGTTTGCAAAACTCACTATGAAATAGGCAGGGATAAAAGACCTATGCATAGAAACATGCTTTCCTTACAAAAAGATAAGTACACTGCTAATTTTCAAAAAGGGTAGAAGCTGCACCGACAAGCTACATATCAAATGGAAAAGACATGAGGGCGGGGGGGGGAAATGATCCACATGTGAAACCAGCGCAAATACACTCATAGCAGGAGAATTGAACATTTCACAAAGTACTTGAATTTATTTCAAAAAAAGTTGGGCGGTGAACACAACAAAAATACTGGCCGAACGAAAAATAAATCAATCTTTGGATACGTAAAAAACCCTATACACGCCCCTGTGTGAAACTCAGTCCTCGGTGCCTTCTTTGGTTTCCTTGTTCTTTCGCACTTCTTCCACCTTCTTGTCCTATTAATAAAAAAAAAAAAAAAAAAAAAAAAAAATGGGTAAGTTACAACACACCTGGAAGAAATAAATGGTGCTACTTTAGCCATTTAAAGATTTAAACACTGACCTTCTCCTTGAATTTATCATTCATCGCTGCCAAAAGTGCTGTGCGGTTCTCTTTGTTGGCCTCCATCTTCTGATTGAGCTTCTCCTCTGCTATCTTACTGAAGTTGTTGTTCTCCTCCATAGCTTTCTGTAGCACCTCCTTTTCATGCTCTCGCTTCTCAGCCAAGTGCTTCAGAACCTCGGCTTCGTGGTTCTGCAAAAAGATTAAATGTTGCATCAGCCACAACCAGCCTTCAGATGTGAATCGGACGTAATGCTTTCAGACTTCAAACAGCTGATAGTAGATTTAATCAATAATTTCTTACCTTGCGTCTCTCCTCTGCAGCATCCAGCTTCCTCTGGATTTCCTCCAGCGACATCTCCTTCTTCTTGGGCGGACACAGGGGGAATTCTCCCTTGGCATCAGAAGCAGCGAGGATCACCTCGAAGGCTTGGCCCGAGGCGCGTTTGTCCAGCTCCTTGACCAAGAACTCTGAACACACAAGGTAGAAATACATTTAGACACAATGAACCATAATCGGGCAACAATTTACATTAAAATCTAAAGATAATTTACCTTCAGCGGCTGCCATCTTAAGAGTGCACTGCGGGTGAATTAACCTAAAGAGGAAATATTAAAAAGAAAGGTCAGATCATTGCTATTGTAGTCTCTGGTGCATTTATAGTACATGAGCGACCTCTAGTGGATGTTTTGCACGAGTCCCGATGCCATTTACAGCAGACCGTCTACACTGCCGCTAACTGAAAACCCACCCGATTCGCTTGTACAATATTAAAAAAAAAAAGCACTTGGGCTTTCGTTTATGCAGCAGCTCTTACAATGGTCTGGCTTGTTGGAAGTACCATACTTATATGATGCTTTGGACAAAAGAATCAACTAAATGCAAGTAATCTACAAAAGCTGAAACATTTTCTTTTGAAAAGGCACAGTGGCGACACCATACGGCCGTCTGCAGAACTGCAAACAACCACCGCCCATCCGTCCACAAAGCAGCATGTCTGCAACACACACCATTGTTTATCTGACTTGTGGCAGCAGCGACATTAATATCAATCTGAAGGCAAGGCACCGCAGTGACCGCACTATCAGACATGAGGGAAAAGGGGCAGGGCTTTTCAAACGTTAATGCGCTAAACAAGTCGCTGAAACAAAAGGATGTGAGGGGGGGGGCGTGGGCACGGGTGGCAGTGCCAGGTGCAGACAGGCCTGCAGTCAGAATAAAAACCAGCCAATATGCAGCATCTGAAACGGGATTAGTGGGCGATGAGCTGGCGGAAAATGCTCATCAGGAGCACCTGTTCCTGCAGCATGTGTGTGAGCCGCAGGAGGAGGAGGGGGGGGGAACACACACACGTACTGCAACAACAGGCTAAACATGCGGGGCGTGATTGTCTGCATAAATGTGTTCAAATGCATTGTCAGCGATGTCATTTGTTAAGTTATTGGTACTTATTGGACCAATTAAATGTAATGTAATTTAGGGAATGTTACTCGAACGATAAGCAGAATCAGATGAATGAAACGACCCCTCCCATAATTTTTCTTAAAGGCTGCTAACTAGCTCATATTAGCTTTTGGATGCATGTTTTCTGCATCAGTATAAGGACATCAAAATGCATTCATCTTACGTGTATTAGAAAGGATTGAGGTTGGTGAATGCCCACACCTTGCATTCCCAAATTGACACCATTGTTTGGATTTAATTAACTCTTGAAATGACTAAAATATCCTCACTAATGATCATTTTAAATAATTTGTTTCAGATTTAGTTAGCATTGTGGTTTCATTAGCTCAGGAATGACAAGCAGCATCAAACAAAGGCGCTTTTGACGAGCAGCTGCAGACAAAGACGCCCTGATGGCAGGTTCACTCCCACAGCAAATCCCCAATAACCAGGCTTTTCTTAAATCAGTGAATGGAAAACTGATCAAAAATGTGACTGTTAGCTTACCAACAAAATCACAGACATGAAAGAAGTCTTAAAAAAAAAAGACCTCGTCTGCAGCCATGTCTGTGCCAACTGTGCCACCATACAAAAGACCTCCAACCAGCCCACATAAAGTAACGATAAGCAACAAAAGAGCTGCAGAAAATCCAACATGCTGCCCAAAAATACAAACTTCAGCAAAAGCATCAAACCTGTATCGCCTGGGTCTCTTTAAAACATCAAAAATATAACATTATTTGTACTTACAGACTTGGAAAAACACAGTCCTGGTGAGTCTTTAGAGATGCTGTCACACCCTCCTTCAGAAGCTTTGAACTGTGTTCCTCTCGTGCTGATCACCGCGAGCTCTGTGCTCCACCAAGCCAAGCGCTCGCACATAAAAGCACCAGCGCGAGTGTCGTCACCTCAATTCTCGTGTTTCGTTGGCTGCTCGCTCACAGGGGATTCTGGGAGTTGCAGTTTTGGGGGATTTTGTTGAGAGAAGTAAATTCCTAATGGATAAATCGTGTTTTTTATTACAAAAGAGGGCAAGCCGAGTGAGGTAGCAATTGTGTTTTGAAAGATGTTACTGTCTTGAAACGTTTTTTATCTATCTATCTATCTATCTAACAATTGAAACAAAAAACTTTATTGTGGGAAACCATGTCATTGATTAATAAAGCCTGGTACAGAGATCCTAAATAATGCTTAAACAAGAAAGGTATAGGACATAAGGAACGGAATATGAACTCAAAACATTTTAAGCCTCATTGTTCATTTTTTTCATATATGTCAGCATCTTAAAGTAGCTGGCTGAGTTATGAATGAACTAAATAAATGGATGTGCTGTGGGAATATGACATTTACCCCCAAAAAACTAAACAAGATTAACAGTATGTGTCACAGTGTCCATAAATTGAAATATATTAAGTGGAGTTAACGATGGAATGTTATGTTCCCTAGGGGTAAAAGGGAAGTAACAACATATACAATAACCGGGATAAAAAAGAACAGGAAATTAATTTACAAAATCTAAAGATAATGGTTAATGAATCAAAACAAAGAGCTAGCCAACTTTGTAAACAAAACAAAGACAAAATAAGAACAACTTTCTTGTAAAAGACAGTGACATAAGTAAACAATGTAAAAAGACACAATGGAGCACATCTTAAAACTCTAACAATCACCACAACACTGTTTGTCTGTTGTTTGTGTGCTTACTTAAAGTGGACCTATCATGCAAAATGCACTTTTTTATAACTTTTATACATAAATATGTTTTCGGGGAAAAGCCGGTGCTTATCAGGCTCCGAACCGGCCCTGGAACCGCGTTGGTGTGAAAGGGGCATAACAAGGCTAAAACAGAGGGATATGAGGGATGTCTAAAATGCATGTATCTGTTTGGTATTTTGAGCAAAACACATCATATACATGTTTGTTATATATCTGAGACCCATAATATATGACTAAAAATAGCATAATAGGAGACCTTTAAGACACAAACAACAGACTACACCGGCCCCACTGCACTCCATGCATGAGGAGAAAGAAGAGAGACTGCAGCTCCTCAGGCCTTTATGCAGGTCCTGATTGGGGATTGGGATCACCTGAGGGAGAGGCTGCACCTGAGGGAGAGGCTGCACCTGGAGGGAGACAATCAGGGGACCTCTTCCCCTGGGGGAGAGACAGGCACAAACACAGAGGCACATACAGTTACAGGGCCAAAACAAAAGCAGTGCAGATGAGTGCAGAATGCCTGAAAGCAGACTCTCCTGCAGGGATCGATGGCTGCAGTCTGCTGTTCCAGTTCTGCTGAACCACGGCAGGACATCAGCAAACTCCTCTGTGAAGGTTACCAAAGCTGAATTAGCAATAACAACTGGTGCATGAGTTAATGATCGCTCTGCTGCATCAGGAGGAGACTCACAGAACAGTGTGAGGAGAGGTTTTACAGCCCAGTCTGAGAGAAGGTCACATTTAAAGATGTCAGGGCTTTAACAACATGACACTGCATCCTCAGAGAAACTGATGTCTTTTCAAGTGCCCTTTAGAGGACTGGCAGGAAGTGGAGGCAAAGCTTGTATTTGTATTTATGTATTTGTGACAATGACAACTTCATCTTACAATTTCTGCTTTTTAACCCCAAGAAATAGTAAATGAAGGTCTCAAAAGAAGCAGATGACACACGGCTGAATAAATAGAAAAGTACAATGACAGTGCAAATGCAGGTAATGATAATTTTAAAAATGAAACCAGACTGGTGGGTCGTGTTCTGAGAGAATTCTGGGATAGAAATATCTCAACAATTCTGTGTGTAAAATAACTTTTTTCAGCAGTTTTTGTGTGTGTTTTGCCCAGTTTTCCAAAAACGTTCATTACAAAATACAGATATGAAAATGCCACTTATTGGATTATATTCACAAGAAGTATAAAGCATGTTTCCTGTGTCCCTTATTTATGAAAAATAGAATACAAGTTAAAATATAAGTTACGGAATTTGTTTAATTTTTGGGGATTTTCTTTGCTGGAAAAATGTAATTAAATAATTCTCGACCATGAGTTCAAGGCATACAGCATTTTACAACATACAGACACATGATCAAGCCTTTCTTTGGTAGCAATTTAGAAATATGCAATGTCTTTTTAAAGAACCTAAAAAATATGAAAATCTGTGTTTTTTTCTTAAAGAATCAACAATGCTATTTTAGGACATTCTGAATCCCTGGCTTAGCAACTTTTAGTTATAAATTGTATCCATCCATAATACTCCGGGGGAATATGACAGAGATATAAAAAAATGTGATCTCCTTTGTTTGACAAAATAAATCATATTTGTTGAGCTTAACGATGAATCCCTCTTCTTTGTTTATCTATTTTTGACACATTTTAAATCATAAGGCAGGATTAATGCCCTGTTTTGTTCCCAGAAAACCTGATTTTTGGAGCTTCGATCAAATGTTCTGTCCCTTTAATTCACATTAATTATCAAAGCTGTTGTTCCTCCTGTTTCCCAGAAGTTAAAGTACCTCAGCTGCCTCCTGTTCATTCATTTATAATCAGAACCTACCGTCTGCGTTAAGTGAGAATCAGAATCATTGCTGCTCTTCAATTTCAGATAACTCTGTGATAAATCTGCCAGGCGTTATGCAAATGGTACACTTGGACTAAATTCAGCTTCAATCGACCCGGACTATTTGATTTGATTTATTTTTAGCTCTCCGATATTCTGACGACATGGAGGAGCAGATCAGTGCTGGAAATATTTGATTTGTAACCACAGGGCCTTCAGTTAGATCTATTTCTGCAATGTGGATGTCCTTTCATCTCCAGATTTAGGCCACAGATTTTAGTTGATGGCACTTTCAGAGAGATGTTTCAGTGCAGAGAGACATCTTCTCCTCCCTCAGTCTCTTACAGATGCTCCAACCCGACTCCTTTTTTAAAAGATAAAACAGCTCAGATGTTCGGACATAGGAGGTTACAGGAGATCCATTTCAGGAGGTTCTTGTGCAGTAATGTCACGCAAAGTGGGGCAGGGTGGACCCAAATGCAGGACAAGACATTACTTTACTAGGCTTTAACAGAAAAATACCTTTATTTCGAGAATTCAGAGCACAAGGCAAACACTCACAAACACTCACAAACAAACAAACAGACAAACAGAACTTTCTGAAGGGACCGACATACAAGGATCTGACAAAGACTAACAGAAGACGATGCTTAAATATAATCAGAATCACATAGAGAAGACACAGCTGGGTTGCGTGGTTACGACAGCTACTGTAAAATGGTTAAGTATAGGCAACATTTTACAGTGTTTAGTGAGTTGTGTGGGCTTTCTGAAACGTTTTTTCAACATGTTTGAATGGTAATATGCACAGTGATAGATTTGTAGGCCTAACAAGTTGTGCATATATTCCATACAGTTGTATATATTTAAAATATAATCATGAAATCATATTTACTGGGATTCATGTTGATTAAAATGTGTGGAATGGAGAGGGAGTGCAAGCAGCTATTACGTTTCATGTTTAATTTTTTTGTTTGACTTCCAGCCTCTGTACTGAAGAATATGTTTCACTGCACGTTTCTAAAGCCTGCCATAAAACGACACCATTAGAACACAAGGGGGAAGGTATCTACAGTAGACGATGACACAATGACAGATCATGACATTAAAAGCTGACAAACCAGCCAAAGAAAATACATATATTTGTAAGATATTCCAAAGGAAGCAACTCAAATACAAAAGACAGCAGGTCCATTTCTAAATGTCTGTCGATACATGGGTTTACAGTCTGAGAGCAAAAACAATGACTCATATTAGCCGACATGACCTTTCCATATTCACTGATACAAATCCAGAGTCTGAATGTGAGAAAGAAGAATTAATGATAAGATAAGGAGCAAGGTGCCTTTGAGCACAGTCATCTGTTAATGCAGTTATTACTGCAGGACCTGCGCAGTGTTCAACAATGTGAGCGTACAGTTGTAGGATGGACTGAAAGGCTTACATGTTATTATTTCTTAAAGTTGTAGTTATAGTAAGCAAGAGTGAGTAGAGTGGGAGCAGTGAGTGGATCAGATTCTGTGACGTGAGCTGAAAAAGCTTAACAATTTTCTTAGAACAAAACCTTAAAACCTTCAGCTTTCTAAACATAGCATTATTCAACCCAGTCTCACGGCATTCCGTGTTATTAGTCACGAAATTAATTTAATCTATTGATTCGTGTTCACCAACACGATTTTCACATTTTTTTCGTGTCACACAGAACGATTTTAAATGCAATGTATTTCTATTGGTAGTATGTTTCGTGCCTGCAACACGTCTTTTTGTCCGGTCGGGTCTTGGAAGACCAGAAGCTGTGTGGTTCATAAAAACATGTTCTTACTCAATATCTTACCCTAAGCCTAACCCTATCCCTTTTATTTGAAATTGTATAATGTCTGAGTTTTTTTGCCGTCCACGAGGAAAAGAAATGTCTCAGAGCCTCAGAATACTGAAATCTGTATTTTATGTCATTTTTTTTTCCTTCTAATTTGTTATTATTTGGTGCAGGCACGAAACATACTACCAATATAAATACATTGCTTCTAAAATCGTTCAGTCAGAATACTTACATCTGTATTTTTTTAAATGTCTTTTTCCTTCTAATTTGTTATTATTTACATTGCTTTTAAAATTGTTCTGTGTGACACGAAAAAAATGGCGAAATCGTGTTGGTGAACACGAATCAATAGATTAATTTCGTGACTATAACACGAAATGCCGTGAGACTGTGTTGCATTATTAGCTTAGCAAAAAGTATAAAAAACGACTTGTTGATTACAACAAATATAACTTCAGTAACAGTGAGCTTTAGACAAGTTGGTTTAAGATTACATTACTTTGAGACACAGCAAG